CACCCCCTCTCTCCCTACCCCACGCTTCAACCCTTTCCTACTGCTACACCACCCCCTCGTTCTAAATGAGTCCACTTTGAAATAGTTAGAGTTACCATAAGACATCTGCATAATTTTGGTCCCATAAAGAACAACTGGAGGACTCCATGCCATGAAAACGCAATGAAGTTTTTCCTTACACAAGATGCTATGGGAAATTAACTGATACAAGAATTACCATCCTATGCCTGGAATGTCATTCGACGAGGGTCGTCGTTTTTCGTGGGCTCGTTATTTCAATTGCTCCGCTGAGTAACATGTACTATGTACAATAAAACTAAAAAAAAGGCTCCTGTTCACTGAAGCGATAATGCCTATACATATTAAATACAATTCTCTAAATAAAACTAAATAGACAGACTTGTTTTTCACTTCAGAATTATACTTTTTATAGGCCGAATACGAATAGTTATTACTTTAATTACTTGAAAATTTTCACCATGTCTTCACTAAGAAAGTCTGGTGAGTGTCAATGTGATATAGACTAGTAAATAAAATTGGTCACCGAAAAAATAATTAGAATTGAAATTGAAATAAACGCATGGAATTGAGATGAGTCATCAAAAGCTACTCACAGAAAGATCATGGACAAATTCACTTAGTTATTTCGAAGATAAAAAAAAATTTTTTCATAGCCAAGATGGAGTCTGCACCAGATCGCCCCGCCCATATCTAGAGGTTATTTTGAACTTTTAAATTTATTAGAAACCATAATGCAAAACAATGCTGACCCTTCATTCTTAATGGTTTTCTGATTGAAAACTTCAGCCTTGGTTATTGAAGGGCTGAAAATTCAGTGAGACGCCCTATATCTAGATAGATTAATGGATAACTTTTGTCGAGAAAGAGATATGTAGTTGCGGGATCGGATCCCATTCATGCTAATAGCATTTTCCTTCCTAACTCGAAAGCCAGGCAATTTGGAGAAGTGCCAAATCATTACTATATGATTGGGCGTAGCAGGTATAAAGAGCGTCAGAAAGTTTTGAAGAAAAAAATTTGGTCAACTCGACCTATCGACTTCTATCATTAAAGATGAGTATCATTATCCCTGTCTAGGAAGAAACGAAATCGAAGAAGGAAACCGAACCAATGCGGGTAAGTAAGTGCTGGAAAATTAAATGGCCAAGAAAAGACCGACGCGAAAGACGAAACCACCAAATTGGAAAGCTAGCTTCAATAAGTTTTTGCAAGGTTTAAGCTGAGTCGATTGTCACCATGAAGCCTTTTCTGAAGTGCCAGGATGGCATCTTCTAAAAGTGATTGAGTGCAATCTCGAGGCTCCAGTAGTCTAATGAACTTCGTCGTACCCTCATGTAGCTGTTCGTTGCCGGGCACTTGGACTTCATTGAATTACCGGAAATTTCCCTTTTGCACTCGGCTGACTAGTTTTTATCGAACAACATGCATTACCTTTCCGATTAAAAGGTCCAATTTTTCTGCAAATAAATAGTAGGCCAATACCCCAGTTTTCTCCAAAATTTTGCTTATTTTTTGAAGGCCTACTTCACGATAATTTTGACATACCTTTTTACGTTGAAAAGCGGAAGTGATGAAGGAGAATAGTGCATCGCTGACGAAGAAAGCGAAAAATTTGCATATTTCAAGCAAGGCTTCCCGAAAGTAGTGGAATAGAGGTTGTACGAGATTGCCACGACGGAATTGTCATGGAAGGACTATTCGGACGAGATTTTAGTTGTTGCATGTGCGAAGAGCTGACTAAGGTAGGCCAAAAATGTCCAAAACTGTCTTCGACTGTTGTCATGGGTCGCTCACGATTGGTTGTTTTGATTTCCACCATAGGTAGTCCCTGTGTATCATAGTGCAGCCCTTACAGAGCCGTTAAAACTCGTCCGACACTGGGTTTGGCATACAGTCGATACAATGTTTTACCTCCCATAACACCATACAAAGTTCGTTTTCCGCTTGAACAGTCCCACAAATGGTGTGGGGGACAGGGATAGGGGCAGAGATCCATGCTAGAGGGATCCATTCTAGAGTGACGGTTGGCAACTGCGACCAAGCTGACCTATGCAAGTTCATCCCTAATGAGAATATGGTTCGCCAGAATTTTGCACTGTTTAGATGAGGTTGCATGGCTACAAAGCGAGGTGCTTTTGAATTCCAAGAAGGTCGTTACCATTTATGATTCTGCTGCTTTATTGAAATGTCGGTTGAAAAAATAACTTTAAAATAGTTTAGCAGTTTTCGAAGATAGTATCGGATGTTCAAAGATTAATAATGACATCAAAAAAAGCGATTTCAAGCTTCCAGAGCCATCCCAGACCGAAAAAAAGTTTCTTCATAGAAATTGCTCGAGAAGGAAGGGAAAGGAGGAGACTCAGATCGACATATCTGATTTAATCTATCTAGCGAAGATTTCTTTCGAAGTTGAGAACATTTCCCCCAGAAGTAATTGGATCGCTTGAATATCAAAACTATGGAAATCATGAAGATGGCCCTCAAAATAGTAGTTTTATAACCCCAAATGTCCGATTCTGATTGGAACAATTCAAGTTACAAGTAATGCGAGCAGATTTATAGATGTATTTGGATCGTAATAAATTTTTCACCAAGAATTTACCCAGTAACTAAAAGCTTCCTGTTTGTTTGATAGAAAGCCTTCATTATGGAGTATCCGAAGCTAATTTGTCACTCAAACAAGTAGAAAACAATTTGATTACATCTTTCTTAGATGGTCTTGCCTTCAGAAAGAAAACCCAACCAAATCGCTTTTGTCGGTCACAAATCAGAAGTTCATAGGTTTACCTCTGCATTCAAGGGCTTATAGACGATTGTCCATTCCTCCAATGGTAGGGTATAAATCCCCAGAGCGCTCAACTCCCAGGAGGGCTATACTGAGGGGGAGACAATGTGATTTAGAGCTTTTTGACTCAAAATAAAATGCGATTTTCTTCCCATAAAGCGCACA